GATGGTGAAGTGCCCAAGCTTAGGAGTTTGAAACCAGCCTGGGCAACACTGTCCCAGCTACTTGGAAGGCTGAGGCAGGAGAACCGTTTGAACCCAGGAGGCAGAGGCGGCAGTGAGCTGAGATGTGAGCACGACTGTGCTCCAGCCTGGATGACAGAGTGAGACTCTGTTTTAAAAATAAAAAGAAGGCCGGGTGCTGTGGCTCAAGCCTGTAATCCCAGCACTTTGGGCGTCTGAGGCGGGTGGATCACGAAGTCAGGAGATCGAGACCATCCTGACCAACGCAGTGAAACCCCGTCTTTACTAAAAATGCAAAAAAATTAGCTGGGTGTGGTGGTGCACGCCTGTAGTCCCAGATACTCGGGAGGCTGAGGCAGGAGAATTGCTTGAACCCAGGAGGCAGAGGTTGCAGTGAGCAGAGATGGTGCCACTGCACTCCAGCCTGGCAACAGTATGAGACTCTGTCTCAAAAAAAATAAATAAATAAAAATAAAAAAAATAAAAGGGAAGTTGGAGGAATTTCTTAAGTACCGAGTTACAGAAATCAAGACAGTAGGGTGTTGGTGAACGGAGAGAAACATAAATCAGCAGAACAAAACAGAGCCCGGAAATGAACCTGCACAAACATGTCAGCTGCTTCAACAAGGACTGGAAGGTAATTCAGTGGAGAAAGGGCAGTCTTTTCAGTAAGCAGGGCTGACTCAAGTGGACATCCAAATGCAAAAAAGATTAACCCCAATCCACAACTTGCACCATACGCAAACTTTAACTCAAAATACATCGTGGACCCAAATGTAAAACTGAAAAGCAGGAAGCTTCTGGAAGAAAACGGAAGAGAAACTCTTTGTGATCTTCAGCTGGGCAAAGGCTCCTTAGAGAAGCTACCAAAACAGTCCGCGAGAGCACGGACTGAGGGGTGGGGGCCGTGGTGCGCACCTGTAATCCCAGCGCTTTGGGAGGCCCAGGCAGGAGGATAACTTGAGCACATGAGGTCAAGGCTGCAGTGAGGAAGGATTGCACCACTGCACTCCAGCCTGCGTGATAGAGTGAAACCCCATCTCTAAAAAAAAGAACAGACTGGGTAGTTGGACTCTACCATACAGAAGAATCTCAAATGCATGAGGCTAAGTGAGGAAAGCCAGGCTTAATATGTCTCGCCCTGTTTCATCCATTCATGTGACATTCTGGAAAAGCCAAAACGACCGGCATGGACACAGATCGGTGGCTGTTACGGCAGCTGGGGTGTCGGTGAGCTGACTACAGAGGGCACGAGGGAATTTGAGGACGAGGAAATATCTTTTTTTTGAGACTGAGTCTTGCTCTGTTGCCAGGCTGGAGTCAGTAGCCCAATCTCAGCTCACTGCAACCTCCGTGTCCCAGGTTCAAGCAATTCTCCTGCCTCAGCCTCCTGAATAGTTGGGATTAGAGGTGTCCACCACCAAGCCCAGCTAATTTTTGCATTTTTAGTAGTGACAGGGTTTCACCATGTTGGCCAGGATGGTCTTGATCTCCTGACCTTGTGATCTGCCCACCTTGGCCTCCCAAAGTGCTGGGATTACAGGCGTGAGCCACCGCGCCCGGACGGAAATATATCAGGATGTGCCAGTGGCCATGTGACTGTCTCTATCAAACTTGCTGGCTGGGCGCGGTGGCTCACGCCTGTAATCCCAGCACTTTGGGATGCCGAGGCGGGCGGATTGCCTGAGCTCAGGAGTTTGAGACCAGCCTTGGGCGACGTGGCGAAACCCTGTCTCTCCTGAAAATACACAAAATTACTCGGGTACGGTGGCGCATGCCTGTAATATTCCAGCTACTCAGGGGGCTGAGGCAGGAGAATTACTTGAATCTGGGAGGCAGAGGTTGCAGTGAGCTGAGATTGAGCCACTTCACTCCA